AGGCCTCCTTCTAATATTCACACCTATTTTTTACTTTGGAAAGGGCTTATGAAAATAATAATAATCTTGCTTTTGTTTTTATGGTGGATACATATAGATTATCTTAACATCTATTTTAAAAATGCAAATATTAAAAAACACAGATTATCTTAGAAGAATTAAAGGTTACTTTTAAAGATTAGTTTAATTCGATCCTGCAATCCTATTGCTAAGCATCTATCCTAAAGAAAAAAAATATCCTTTTATCATAAGGACATTTGCACTAGACTTTTTATTGCAACTCAATTTATAATTGCCAAAATGTGGAAACAACCTAAATGCCCACTAACCCAGGAATGGATTAACAAGCTGTGGCATACGTATACCATGGAATACATTTCAGCCACTAAAAACATGGGGACTGGCTGGACATGGTGGGTCCTGTAATCCTAGCACTGTGGGAGGCCGAGGCAGGTGAATTGCTTGAGCTTATGGGTTCAAGACCAACCTGAGCCAGAAGGAGACCTTGTCTCTAAAAATGGCTGGGTGTTGTGGCAGGCACCTATAATCCCAGCTACTTGGGAGGCTGAGGCAAGAGAATCGCTTGAACCCAAGAGTTTGATGTTGCTGTCAGCTAAGATGCCATAGTGATACAGGATAAGTGGTATCCCAGCCAGCTCATGGAGCTGGGGGGCACGGACTGGCAGCCTCCGCCTTGGCAGTGTTGGTGCATTGGCAGCAAGCAGCAGAACCAGAAGGCTGGAGGGTAGGCAGGGGGGTCCCCATTTCCTAGGCCTGGGAATAAAAAGGATTGTAGCCATTCATTTGCAACCCAGACATGTTGTTCTGGACATGTCCCAGACAGATGTCCCAGACAATGCTAAATGTAACTACCAAGGGTCAGACATGTCCCAGACAGATGTCCCAGACCCGCTAAATGAAACTACCAGGGCCAGACATGCCCCAAACACAATGTCCCAGACATGTACCAGACATGTCTCAGACACCATGTCCCAGACACGATAAATGTAAGTACCTAACCCCTATTACACTAAATGTAACTACCTAATCCCTATCCAGGGCCCCATGCGACTATATATACCCCTAAACAAAGAGCCTACAGACAGAGAGGGAGAGGGAGCACTTTTCTCTCCTGACTCCAGTTTTCTCTCTCTGCCTGGAGCTCTGGCACTTCCTTATTCTTTTCTGTAAATAAATCCTGTCTTACCACTGATCTGTGGTCTGCGGATTCATTCTTCGAATCACTGAGACCAAGAACCTACTGAAGGGCAAAATTCCGATATCAATAGCACTCTACCATGGGTGACAGAGTGAGACTATCTCCCCCCCTCAAAAAAAGATGGAGACTTTACCTCTTTTGTAATAACCTGGATGGAGGTACAACACATTCTTCTCGGTCAAGCATCACAAGAATGGAGAAGCAAGAATGTAGTGTACTCAATTCTAATATGAAGGCAGCAGATGAGCTAATACAAGGGTGGGGGGGGTGGGGGGAATGAGGGAGCCAGGAGAGGGGAGGAGGGAGGGAAATGGGGGGGTCACGGTGTATGGCACACATCCTGGAGACAGGACACAATTATAAGAAGGACTTTATCTAACAAATGCAATCAGTGTAACCTAATTCTCTGTACCCTCAATGAATCCCAAACAATAAAAAAAAGATTAAAGCACAAAATTTAGAACCAAAGCCCTTTCAATTTTTATACAGAGTGATATTACAACCTATGCTATATTTGACATAACTTTTTCATTTGTTTCTTTAGCCTTCATTACCTATGTTTTTGCATAGTTCTGATATGTACGTGAAAATATTTTTATTATTTTTTATATGTCATCGAATGACATTAATAATTTCTATTACTGGCTTGGTGCCCATAGCTCAGTGAGTAGGGCGCTAGTCACATACACTGAGGCTGGAGTGTTTGAACCTGGACTGGGGTTGCTAAACAACAATGACAACTGCAACCAAAAAAAGCCCAGCGTTGTGGTGGGTGCCTATAGTCCCAGCTACTTGGGCAACACTTAAGCCCAAGAGTTTGAGGTTGCTGTGAGCTGTGACGCCATGGCACTCTACTGAGGGTGACATAGTGAGACTCTGTCTCAAAAAAAAAAAAAAATTTGTTACGGTACCTACCACCAGGTCTGATAATTAACTCAAACCTTAGATTACTTGATGTACAATAAGTTATAAATGTTTACTTTTAAACTTACAGTGTGGTACATGGAGGATATTTCAATGAATAAGTCATCCAATGTCCTCATTATCTTGAAATTTCCATGCTAAAAGGAGAAAGAAAATTTTGAAACCCACAAAAAAGGTATTTTATTTATTTATTATTATCATTATTTCTTCTTTTTTTTTTTTGAGACAGAGTCTCACTGCACCCTGAGTAGAGTGGTGGGGGGGGGTCACAGCTCACAGCAACCTCAAACTCTTGGGCTTAAGCAATTCTCTTGCCTCAGCCTCTCAAGTAGCTGGGACTACAGGCACTTGCCACAAAACCTGGCTATTTTTTTTTGTTGTAGTTGTCATTGTTGTTTAGCAGGCCCACGCCACATTTGAACCCACCAGTCTCATGTATATGGCCAGTGCCACTGAGCTATGGGCACTGAGCCGAAAAAGGTATTATTATCCCTATTTGAGCATTTGAACCACAAAGAGGTCAGGGACCAACTTTTTCAAGATCATCCAAGTTGTAGGTGTTAAAAGTAGAGCATTCCAACCCAGCCAAGCTGCTTCTTTGCTGGTCCAACCAAATGTTCTGGGAATTCAGAGAACAGATCAAATAGAGCTGGAAAAGTTGTTTTAGTTTACTCTGGCTGCTATAACAAATTATCACAAATCTAGTGGCTTAAAACAACACAAATTTATTACCTTACAGTTCTGGAAATTAGAAGTCCAAAATCTTTCACTGGGCTCAAGTGAAGGGGTCAGCCGGGCTGGGCATGATGGCTCTTGTCTGTAATCCCAGCACTTTGAGAGGCCAAGGCAGGAGGATCACTTGAGGCCAGAAGTTTGAGAATAGCGTGAGCTACAAAACAAGACCATATCTCTACCAAAAAAAAAAAAAAAAAAAAAAAAAAATTAGCTAGGGCCCAGAGTGGTGGCTCGTGCCTGTAATCCTAGCACTCTGGGAGGCAGAGACAGTGGATCCCATGAGCTCAGGAGTTCAAAACTCACAGCCTGAGCAAGAGTGAGACCCCCATCTCTTCTAAAAATAGAAAAAGAGGCTGGGCGTTGTGCCAGGGGCCTGTAGGCCCAGCTACCTGGGTGGCTGAAGCAGGATTGCTTTAACCCAGGAGTCTGAGGTTGCTACGAACCAGGCTGACGCCACCACACTCTAGGTTGGGCAACAGAGTGAGACTGTCTCAAAAAAGGAAAAATATTAGTCAGATGTGATAGTGCACACCTGTAGTGCTAGCTACTCTGGAGGCTGAAGCAGGAGGATGGCTTGAGCCCAGGAGTTACAGGTTATAGTGAGCCATGATTATGCTACTGTGCTCCAGCCTCAGCCCATGACAGAGGTGAGACCCTCATTAAAAACAAAACAAACAAACAACTTTTTTTATTTCTTTGCCAGGCGTCAGGCTGGTCCCTTCTGATGCTCTGCAGGAAGAGCCAGTTTCCTTGTAGTGTCCAGAGGCGGCCTGCCTTCCTGGGCGAGTGCTGCTTCCTGCCCACCACTTGCTTCTGTTATCACGTCTCCTGCTGCGGCCTTTACCTTCTCCTCCCACTCTAAGGGGACCCCTAGACAAATCCTCTCCCTAACTCAAGATCCTTAATCCTATCTGTGAAGTCCCTTTTCCCATGTGAGGTCATGTATTCCCTGGCTCTGGGAATTACAAGGACATCTTTAGGAAGGCTTTATTCAGCCAAACTTGTGGGCACTGGGAAGGCTGGACTTGTACTTTGGAATAGAAAGGAGCAGGAAGTGGGGGGCTTATCCCATGAACTACATTTGTAGAGCACCTTTCCCATGGCAGGCCCAGCACCAAGGGCTTTGCGTTAGTTTGCCAGGGCTGCCCTAACCAAGTACTGAAGACTGGGTGGCTAAAAAGAATAGAACTGTTCCCCCGTGATTCTGAAGGCCAGAAGTCTGAGATGCAGCGCTGCGGGTTCGGCGTCATCTGTGGCCTCTCCTGGGCTTGCAGGTGGCTGTCTTCTGTACTCACACGTTGTCTGTGCCCAGATTTCCTCTTCTGAAAAGGACAGTTGTGCTGGACTAGGGCTTTATTTTAACTTAATTACTTCTTTAAAACCCTATTTACAAAAACTGTTTCATTCTGAGGTACTGAGGGTTAGGATTTCAACATAGGAATTCTAAGGGGACACAATTCACCTGGAATGGGCTTAGACACATGCCAACAACTGCTGACAGCAGCCCGGATCTGGCAGTTGGAACGCGGCTGACGGTGGCTCACCCCTTGCCTAGTGTCTCCCAGATGTCAAGTATGAAAGGGAGATTCACCCCCAGCCTGCCTGCTCTAAGAGCCAGGCCTGGGATGCCAGGGCAGTTGTGATGGCAGATGGGGGCAGGAGAGTATGACTGTGGATGCCACAGACTGTATCAGAGGGTGGAGGGTGAACTTTGAGTTGCGGGAAAGAGCAGAAATAGCAGGGTGGGGTCGGTCAAGAAGGCCTTTATAGTCTGGCCTTTACAGGCACTGAGCACTGAGCAATCTAGCAATGAAATCTGGGAAGAGGGAGAGGCAGCATTTCCCCCGTCAAACTTTAACTAAATAATTGTCCAGCTAAAGTTCTTACAAATTCACAGTGACTCAGAAGCAGAAGACCAGGGCAAGGTTCCTCCCCACTGAACAGATTCCCCAAGGCAGCCTTGGTCATTTTGACTGCCACCAGCGCCTGGTGATGGCCTTTCAGCTTCCCTGTGGATAGCCGATCCTGACACCACAGGGGTGACTGCCACACTTCTTTCCCATCCAGAATTGTTTTAAGTCCCTTGTTTTAGAGGCTGATCTACTTCATCTTTTTTTTTTTTTTTAATATAGAATGTTTCACGAATTTGCGTGTCATCCTTGCGCAGGGGCCGTGCCGATCTCTGTATCGTTCCAATTTTAGTGTATGTGCTGCCGAAGCGAGGACCTTCATCTTTTTCTTGTTTTTCTATCTACCCCTTGCCCATTTATACTATTTTTTTCAGTCTTTATACTGGGAAAAGGAGAAATGTAGAAGCAGCTTTTTGAGAGTACGGTAACCTATGAATTAATTTTAAGATATAGGAGGTGGGGAATGAGTGCCATGATCAAGCTGACGAATGCAGCTTGGGGACCTCTTCTGTGTGCATGTGTGGTGACATTCAAGGTCTACTCTCTTAGCACATTTCAAGTATATAACATACACTTATAATTAACTTTGCATTCTCCTAATCCACAAAGGCTGCAGGATTTTTAGTGATTCTAAGATTTGGTCCACTTTTTCATCTACTAATTTAGGAACATGAAATAAAATTGCAACACACTGCATTCACCATCCTTTAATGGAAACCAGTGCTAATGGGCTAAGATGTTTTAAGGATTTTAAAATATAGGGTGAGAACTGTACGAAAACAGAAATCAGCACAGATTTAAATTCTATCTATTCTGATGCAGAATCAGAATTAAATAAAATCAAAGCCAATCATACTTCCTTAAAAGTAGGGTACCAGCTGGGTGTGGTAGCTCATGCCTGTAATCTTAGTACTTTGGGAGTCCAACGCAGGAAAATCACTTAGTTCAGGAGTATAACACCAGACTGAGCAAGACCCTGTCTCTACTAAAAATAGGTGGTTCATGCCTAGAATCCTAGCACTCTGGGAGGCCAAGGCAGGTGGATTGCCCTGAGCTCACAGGTTTGAGATCAGCCTGAGCAAAAGCGAGACCCTGTCTCTAAAAACAGGTGGGCATTGTGCCAGTCGCCTGTAGTTCCAGCTCAAGAGAATTGCTTAAGCCTAAGAGTTGGAGCTTGCTTTGAGCTATGGCACCACAGCACGGTATCAAGAGAGACAAAGTGAGACTCTATCTCAAAAAAAAAAAAAAAAAAGAAAATTTAGCTGGGTGTGGTGGCGGGCTCCTGTAGTTCCTGCTACTCAGGAGGCTGAGGCAGGAGGATTGCTTGAACCCAGGAGTTTGAGGTCGCTTTAGCTAGGCTGAGATGGTATTCTAACCTGAAGAGTGAGACTCTGCCTTAAAAAAAAAAACAGGCCACAATGTTCCTATTTGTTCCCTCTTTTGCTCACTGTTGCTTTAGCAGAGTTATAGCTGCTATTACTATGCTAAGTCTAAACCCTCACTCTCAGTGGGTGTTTGCTGAATAAACAAACATGTCTTCCTGTGCTTACCAGAGCTGTGCATGTGTAAGTGCTCCGTGAGCTGCATCATCACCACACCATTCAGGGTTTACTGCTGACCCTTGCCCGTGCACACTGTCTCCCTATACCCTAGTGACAGTGAGAGCCATTTAAATCAAGCAAAATATATTTCAGATTGAAGTGCTGAACAGAAAAAAAAAGAACAAAGGGATAGCAAGTATGGGTAGTGTTTGTATATAAAATTTTAGAAAGAAAAACCTCCTTGAAAAGGTGACATTTAAGGAAAGACCTGCAGCGAAAGTGGAAGGCGTAATTTGTGGAGCAATTGCAGGCAACATGAACAGTAAATGCAAAGGCACTGGGGCAGGAGGAGTCTGGCCAGACTGTTTAAGTAACAGGGAGGCGGCCAGCCTAGCTGGAGCAGGTATAGTGTGAAGAGTTGTCAGAGATGAGGGCAGATCATGGCAGCCTGGTAGGTGGCAGCCTTTCAGCTTGTACTGAGTGACCTAAGGAGATTTTGGAGGGTTCTGGGCAGAAGAATGATAAGACCTATGTAGGTTTTAAGAGAATTACTCTGGCTGCTGTATTGAAAACATTCCGATGGGGGCAACAGAAGCAATACTAAACGTTTAAGCACTGTGTCACCATGCTATAAATTATAATTAGATAAGATAAAAACAGAAATTAAAATAGTCTCTGATGACTGTGACTCCACACAGAAACCAGATTTCCCAAGCAAATGTTAGTGTTGGTAACAACAGTGGTACATGTAGCTGTAGTAGGCCAAAATATTTATTTGCCTAAAACAAAAAAAACCCCAGAAGTTTTGGAATTACAGTTTTGGGCAGTGAGTAAAGGTCACAATAAAGAACAATAAGCCCCAAACTTCTGTAGCAGCTTTGATTTTTTGCCTTAAAAAAAAAAAAAAAAAAAGAGTGCATTTTGAGACATTCATTTAAATGAGATACACATCGGGTTTTCCCTAAAGTGCCAAAACTCATACAATTCCTGGAACTTCAGATCAGAATTATAATGGACTAAAGAATTCATCAAGTTAAATACTCAGGGTTATCTCAAATCCCGAAAAGTCCCTGGTTTCTGTGACAGGGAGGAATTCTGGTAGCAAGTAGTTGAATTAAAATCCAGGTAAAAATGCTCTAAATCTTCGTCTTTGGGTTCTTCTTTGTAAAAATTTGTTTTAATAATTCCTAGATAAACTTCACTAATTTTCTATTCTACTCTCTGTATTTTTCTTTATGTCATCTGTCTTCTTTTCTTTCCACAAATTCCCAAGGACAATTCCTAAAAAAATTATTAGTCCTATTGTTCGGTTGGAGGTAAATTTATCCCAGCAATCCTCTGGTCTGTGGATGTCTAGAGTGTAAATCTGTAAGGAAGGAAGGCAACACTGCATTAGTCCCTGATCTGATCTGCACTTCGGGACATACATACAAACATGGCAGGACAGAGGAGAAAACAGCGTTTTGTTACAGAATTTTAAGCAACAGGAAGCCCTTATCATACTGCAACATGTTTCTGAATGTAGAAAACTTTACCATACCTTCTAAGATGTGTCCCCAAAACTTCCAGTTGAGTTCATGACTGCTGTGAGAGGCAACCCATTCTATTTTTAGTTCTATTTAGAAAGCTCTTCCTTATACTGACTTATTTGAAAATCTGCTTCCCTCAAAGCCCCTACTTTCCAATTCTAGCTCTCTTCTCTCTTTAGTCTTCTCAATGAAGAACAAATCACAGCGGGGCAGGCCGATTCTCTGTTGTGCAGGGCTGTCTGGTGACCCAAGGGACATTCACTGGACCTTACACAGAATGCCTGTAGTGCTCCCTCCCACTTTATCATGATGGCCAGAAGTATGTTTACAAATCTCCCTCCCATGCCCACATACAGATGGGAACCTAGAGACCTACAACTGCTGCTAGCAACCTAGAACACACACACTCCTTTTCCCCATGGTAGGACTATAAATGTTATCACGAAAGTCTCTGTTCCTACTTTATTTTCCCGAAGTTTAAAGAACTAACTCTCCTTTATTATATCGTCTGCAGACTTAAAATCATCCTGATTTCCTTTCTCTTCAAATACTAGAAGGCTGTGTCCACCTTCAAATGCTATGTCAAGAATTCAACAGAGGATCAGAAAAGTCATTTGAAGTATAAAATATTCCAAATAGTTATTGTAATGGTGGTTGTCCTTGTAACTCTGCCTTCTTCTGCTAATATTCAGATGCTTAATCACCACTACATTTCCATTATCCAGACCATGGGATGACAACCCACGTGGAACTGAATTATGACCAAGAGGGGATTTGGAGAAATTCTGAAGAGGAGAGTGGTGACATCCTGGAGAATCACCCATTTTTACCTTTTAGCTCTCATGTGATGAAAACAATGAAGGGGATATGGGCTTACTTTTAAGAGACATCATTATTCCTTTTTAGAGACAGCATCTTGCTCTGTCACCCAGGTTGGGGGTGCAGTATGCAATCATAGCTCACCGCAGCCTTGAACTCCTAGGCTCAAGGGATCCTTCTCCCTTAGCCTCCTGAGTAGCTAGGGCTACAGGCACACACCACCGTGCCTGGCTAATTTTTTTTTTTTTTGTAGACATGGGGTCTTGCTATGTTGCTAATGCTGGTCTTAGACTCCTGGGGCCTAGCAGTCTTCCTACCTTGGCCTCCCAAAATGCTGGGACTACAGGTATGAGCCACTGGGCCAGACCCTAGACAGCAGATTTTAATTTCCTTCATATTACCTTGTGCAAGTCTTACCCATGCTAAAAAGAAATTTGCAATAATCTGTATGAAACAGATCAGATCATCTAAAAACAAGTTCCCTAACATCTTTTTTATTCTGTTTAATGATAGTAACATTAAAATTGATAGAAAAATACACTTCATTTAATTAATATTACATGTAGTTGATTGAGTTTACAAGTCAATAATGTAGATTCTCAGTATAAGCTTGGGGGGTAGGAGAAGCAGTGTGGGCGACTACCCTGGAACAACAGCTCCCTGCCATCTAGGCAGAACTTTGACATGTTTAGCATTTGGGGACCAGTGGAGCCCGAACTTATAAATGATTACTTTAACTATCACTAGAAACCCAGATTTAAAAAAAGAGTTTTACCAATTTGTTTTTAGAATAATTAAACTCAACCCACAAGCCTCAGACATTTTTCCAGACATGAATCAGAGAGAAAATCAAAGGGAAAAACCCCAGTTGAGGTTTATGTTTTTTCTCTAAAATAACACATTCATATGACAAGTTGGAACAGAGGAGGGGGTGGTTTGAGGTAGTACAAGCAAAGTAGTTGTTTTAAGAAGTTTCTGACTTGGTAAACACAAAGGGTATTTTAAAAAAATTATTTTTGTAATTTATACCAAAGAAAAACAAGGGACAAGTAAGAAACTGTCAAACCTGGTGAGCCAGATGGGCTCCGACGGCGAGCAGAGCAGCGTAGTAGGGAGCAGTCTGGCTGCTGCTCACCCCCACCAGACTCAGCGCCCCCAGCATAGCAGCACTGAAGCCACCCAGCCATTGCTTGGTGTTTTCACGGAAGAGCAGGGCTGTGGACTTAAGACCAATCAGAGCATCGTCTCTTTTGTCCTAATACAGGAAGTAATAATAAGTGTCATTGGGGAGGATTTAATCCACATACTAAGTATCATAAAATTCACATTTTGAAATGTATAATTTGGCGGTTTCTAGTATAGTCACAAGGTGTCAACCACTGCCACTATCTAACCGCAGAAGAGACTATCTTCCAAAGAACATGCAGATTTACCACCAGCTGTGAAAAATGACAGTAACTCAAAGCAGGCCAATCAATAATAAATTTGTAGGCCAAGAGAAGTTAAACATCACTACTAAAACCACCATCTAGCTCTATTTCTACATTTCATTGTATTTCTTGTAACACTACAGTGGCTTTTAACTATTAATACTTTTACTATATAAGGATTAAAAAAATTTCTTTTGAGACAGAGTCTCAAAAAAGTAGAGTGCTCTGGTGTCACAGCTCACAGCAACCTTAGACTCTTGGGCTCAAGCAATTCTCTTGCCTCTGCCTCCCAAGTAGCTGGGACTTAGAGGTGCCCGCCACAAAGTCCAGCTATTTTTAGAGATGTGGTCTTGCTCTTGCTCAGGCTGGTGTCGAACCTGGGACTTCAGTGCAATCCACCCACCTTGGCCTCCCAGAGTGCCAGGATTAAAGGCACGAGCCACCGTACCCAGGCTCCTCATAGTTCTTAAAATTCAGTAATTTCCTATATATTTTAGTTTCAATCTTGCTAAATCACACATGTAGGAAAATGCTTGCTTACTATCATTCCCATTCCCATTCCACTTCTAGTCCAATTTATTCCTTGCCTTTTTTTTTTTTTATTTTTTTGAGACAGATCCTCAAGCTGTTGCCCTGGGTAGAGTGCCGTGACATCATAGCTCACAGTAACCTCCAACTCCTGGGCACAAGTGATTCTCCTGTCTCAGCCTCCCAAGTAGCTGGGACCACAGGTGCCTGCCACAATGCTTGGCTATTTTTTGGTTGCAGCTGTGATTGTTGTTTGGTGGGCCCGGGCTGGATTTGAACCCAGCTCAGGTGTATGTGGCTGGCACCTTAGCTGCTTGAGCCACAGGCACAGAGCCAATTCCTTGCCTTTCTTATCAAATCCTGGGTATGCAGCTGCCTGGTTTCCTCTAGGGGTTTTATTTGTAAGCATTGCCATGCACTGTTGAAATAATGGTTGTGCAGTGTCAGTGGCTGCACTCAGAACTCTGCACTGACCTGCAGGTAGGCAGGCCACCTTTTTGGGTCCAAATCCAAATAATAATGAGTGTGGGTTAGTGTATCTATTTTTTCTTTCATACTACAATCATCTTCAGATGACTGTATCTTTAATTACAGGAATCACAAAAGTGTCTTGAGTATGTGGTGTTTTACTGAACAAGTTATTCTCGCTGGAATACATTTATCCTAACTACTGGCTCCAGACCTTCCTGCAAAGAGTACAGGCATCTCTTTGAAGCTGCAAGTCAAATTTCACTTCACCTTTTTTTCCCCTCTGTCCCACACTTGAACAAGAGTTGTCTTGGGCCACACATTAAATACACAAACACTGAAGAAAGCTGATTAGCAAAAAAAGGTCTGTGCATACTTTTTATGGTATCTGACACTCATACATCAGCAAAAAATAGTCCTCATGAAATCAGCATGTAGCCTGCAGGTTAAACACCACAGGACAGGGGGTTTGTGGAAGAAAACAAGAAAAAATCCAGACATGTCCTTGAAGTAGGGTTCGAGACCAGCCTGAGCAAGAGCAAGACCTCCATCTCTAAAAACAGCCAGGCGTTGTGGCGGACACTGGCAGTCCCAGCTACCTGGGAGGCTGAGACAAGAGAACCACTTGTACTCAAGAGTTTGAGGTTGCTGTGAGCTGTGATGCCATGGAACTCTACCAAGGGCAAAAAAGTGAGACTCTATCTAAAAAAAAAAAAAAAAAAAAAACAACAACACCCAAAACCTTTAAGTAAATATGATCTTATTTCAGAAAAATACCAAGAAGAAAACTTTCAAAATGTTCATAAATGTATTCTTAGCACAGTTATCAAAAAATGGTCACTATTGTGATAGATGTGTTAATTAATTTGATTGTGATAATTATTTCATAATGTATACACATATCAGATCACCATATTATATACCCTGGACATACACAACTTCTATTTATCAGTTATACCTTAGTGAAGCTGGGAAAAAATTTGATAAATGTAAAAAGATAATTAAGGCCATATAAGAAAGAGAGCAAAAAAGGAGGTTTTTTTTGTTGTTGTTGTTTTTGGACAGGGCCTGGTTTGAACCTGCTACCTCTGGCACATGGGGCCAGCACCCTACTCCTTTAAGCCACAGGTGCTGCCCTCCTAAAAAAGGAGTTTTAAAGATAAACTTAATAAAAGACAGTACCAAAAACTATAAAAATGTTTATAGCCTCTAACTCAGTAATACCATTTCTAAAAATTTACCTGAAAAACTCATATTCGTGAATCATTGGAGAGTAGAACGGTATTATTATTATTATTATTTGGCTAGGGCCAGGTTTGAACCTGCCACCTCTGGTATAGGGGCCTGCACCTATACCAGAGGCCACTCCTTTGGGCCACAGGCACCGCCCAGAACAGTATTATTTATAATTGTGCAAACTCAAATTATCAAAATAGATAAATTATTAAATTTTTAAAAGTTATGACATGTTAAATCAATGGGTCACAATCTTTTAAGTGACAATAACAAATAATTGGTAAAAACATGGGAAAATAGGCTCGGTGCCTGTGCTCAGTGGTTAGAGCGCCAGCCACATACACCGGGGCTGGGGGGCTGGAACCCAGCCTGGGCCTGCTAAATCACATGACAAATATAACAAAAGAATAGCTGGGTGTTGTGGCAGGAACCTCTAGTCCCAGCTACTTGGGAGGCTGAGGCAAGAAAATCGCTTAAGCCCAAGAGCTTGGGGTTGCTGAGCTGTGATACTACAGCACTCTACCGAGGGTGACATAGTGAGACTCTTGACAAAATAAAAAGGAAAATGTTTATTATCTAAGCCAAGTAAAAGAGCTGCATAATACAGTGATTAGGGGCTGGGCATGGTGGCTCATGCCTATAATCCCAGGCTGAGGCTGGTGGATTGCCTGAGCTCAGGAGTTTGAGACCAACCTGAGCCAGAGTGAGACCCTGTCTTTAAAAAATAGCCAGGCATTGTGGTGCGCACCAGTAGTCCCAGCTAGTTGGGAGTCTGAGGCAAGAGAACTGCTTAAGCCCAAGAGTTGAAGGTTGCTGTGAGCTATGATGCCACAGCACTTTACCATCGGCAACAAAGTGAGACTGTGTCTCAAAAAAAAAAAAAAAATACAGTGATTAGAGGCACACACAGAAGGGCAGGGGAGCACAGCGGTTAGAAACAGAGTCCCTGAACACCATCTGGGCTTGACTCTCAGCCCTGCCACCCCTAACTGTATGACACAGTAAGTTACTTCTTCATGTTTCCTCTTCTGTCAAATGAAGATAATAAAAGAACTTTCCTCACAGATAGTTGTGAGCATTAAATAAGCATTTGTAAAGTATTTAAGACAGTGTCTGGTATATAGTGAGTACTGTACAAATGCTTGTATAAACTAAATGAGCTGAACTCTTTGGTAAACATACATAAACATGAAACAGAAATACTTTGCTGGAGCCATAGAATTATGAATGACTTTCTTTTAAGGACAAAAATACTTTGGGCCAGTCCTGGTCATCTGCGTCTATTGTCTTAGCTACTTGGGAGGCTGAGGTGGGAAGACTGCTTGAGTCTGTAAGTTCAAGGCTGCAATGAGCTCTATTGATTTCATCACTGTACTCCAATCCAGGAAACAGTGTGAGATCCCATCTCAAACAT